CTGGAAGACGAGCTGTGTCGGGCTGGGAGCACGATGAGGTCAGCTTGGAGATGACTGAGCTTAGGGTGTCCTGGGACACCTAAATGGAGATGCCATGTAGGTTGTCAAGTAAGTAGGTCTGGAGAGGAGTCTGACCTGGAGATAAAAATCTGGGGACACCACATAACTGTTAAAACAAATGAGGTGACTCCATACAAACTGACTTGGTACGATGTCTGTGATCTACTGCCAAATACACACTGAAAAAAGGCAAGTTACAGAACAACAGGGATCATATCACTTTTTAAAAACATGTAGAAGAATACTTAATCATCTGGCCTGCAAGAGAAATACACACACTCTGACCTACACACAGACACACACACACACACACACACACTCACACAATGAAAGAATATACTAAAATATTAACCTATCCCTAGGATTTGATAAAGTTTAGATGGGAATAGATAAGTGAATGAATTTCACTTTTACAAATTTAGACTATGTTTGCACTCTTGTTTCTTACAATGAGTACTTAATAACTCCAATGCCCACTTCGTTCCATCCCTTTTCTCACCCTTCAACTCCTACCTTATCCTGAATCCCCACCCAGTGTCAGAAGCTGGCAAGAGAATAGGATGGAAAGAGGAAAGATGATGTCAGTTTTTGCACATTATTTTATAACAAAACAAGAACAACTTGGTGTTTGCTTTGAAGATGCATCAAAATAGCTGTGTCAAAACATTCCCTGGTAAAATGTCATTCCTGCTCCTGAAGGGTTTGTAATCAAGTTGGCTGAGCAGTAAGTCAATTAAGATGATTGTCAGAGCATGAAGTCTACAGGCACACTGTCCACTGCACTCTCCCTAGAGACCCTCGATGTGCTCTGAGGATTTCTAAGTCTCATGTAACATCCAAGAACACACCACGTTAATCAAGAAATGTGAAAAACTTCCCATTGTGGAGAATAAGGTAGCAGGAACTTGAACTAACGAATGTACGTGAACAAAAGGAAATTAATATAAACAGGAAGAATTGATGGCTTTTGTGGTTTATCCTGGGTTTTCTTCAGTTACTTAACATAATCACCCTGCACAGTGCCAGCCCACACTCAGTATATACTTGTGGAATTGTTTTTAAAATATCCAAGCCTCTATTGGACCAGGAATATTATTTTTCCAGAACAAAAATGGGGTAATGCTGAAACGGAAGCACTCTAATGGCAGAAAGCCAAGGGACATATTGTGTAGCTCCTTGTGAACTTTCTTCTTCCATTCCCTGATTACATAAAGCAGAGACTGATAGAACCAAATGAGATCTTGAAGCTGCCTTGTTCAACAGCTGCGCAAAGCATTGTTTAACCATCCTTAACTAAGAAGTGTACGCTGAAAATGTGGAACCAGCTCAAATGCCCATCAATCAATGAGTGGATAAAGAAACAAGGACACACAATGGAATACTACTTAGCCATGAAAAGGGACGAATTAGGCTGGGCAAAGTATCTCATGCCTGTAATCCCAGCATTTTGGGAGGTGGAGGCAGGTGGATCACCTGAGGTCAGAAGTTCAAGACCAGCCTAGCCAACATGATGAAACCCCATCTCTACTAAAAACACAAAAATTCGCTGGGTGTGGTGGCGCATGCCTGTAATCCCAGCTACTTGGGAGGCTGAGGCAGGAGAATCACTGGAGCCCAGGAGGCAGAGGTTGCAGTGAGCCGAGATCACACCATTGCACCCCAGACTGGGAAACAGAGTGAGACTCTGTCTCAAAAAATAATAATAATAATAAATTAATTAACGGCATTCACAGCAACCTGGATGGGACTGGATAATATTATTCTAAGAGAAGTAACTCAGGAATGGAAAACTAAACATTATATGTTCTCACTCATAAATGGGAGCTAAGCTATGAGGATGCAAAGGTATATGAATGATACAATGAACTTTGGGGACTCAGGGGGAAGGGTGAGAAGGGGATGAGGAATGAAAGACCACAAATCAGGTTCAGTGTACACTGCTTGGGTGATGAGTGCACCGAAACCTCACAAACCACCACTAAAGCAGTTACTCATGTAACCAAATACCACCTGTTCCCCAAAAACCTATGGAAATAAAAAAAGGAGAGAGAGAAGTGCATGTTGTACAGATATACACCTAATAACTGAACCATGAGTATATATCGTACCGGGAAGGCAAACACAGGTGAAATTGTTCCCATCTTGCTTTTCATTTACATCAATACAGCTCGCGTTGTTCTGGCAAGGTTTCCTCTGGCAAGCAACGTATTCTTCACAGAAAGTACCCACGTACTGCTCCTCACAGGTACAGGAAAAAGTTGCCTAAAACACAAAAAAACACAGAGTCTGTTACCTGGCGCCTCTCAACAGTGTGCTTTGGCTGTGAGACTCAAAGTTCAAAAGAACCACTTCCTTTTTATAATCAGCAATCTAATCAAATCACGTATATCATAATCTAGTTGAAATCCTAGCTGTAAGAAAAATAGTCTTACAGTCTAATCTCAAACACATTTTTCTATTATTTGTTCATATTTATCCCCGTCATTTTCAATCTTCCTAAAATAGAAATGAAATGAACTTGTTTTACGCTAAAATTGAAGTTTTGCTGACCAGACATGGAAATGGCAATTTTGCTAGAGCAGATAGATTGTCCTACAGCCATTAAATTAGATGTCACTCCAACCAACTAAAATCCTTCAACAGAGACAGCACTTGTAACAAAAATGTCATCAAATGTCCAACCCAGACCATCCTTTCAGAGCACTGAGAAAACGCACCAAATCACTCCTTCAACCGGCCTCAATGTACAGCCATGCAGATTATCTGAGTACAAGGGAAAATAAAAGGAGTATAATTCAAGCAACCATTTTGTATAGCTTATGATATTAACATTATCTTAGTAAAAGACCATAACTCAGACACAGAGAATGGAATTTGACTCGAAGCTTCATTTCTGAGATAGTTGTAAAATACAAAAAAAAACTGGGTTTCTTTCCCCTTCTTAATGCCAGCCTGGGGGTAGTGGCATGTCTGAAATAAACCACAAATCTGTCCCCAAAGCCTACGCAAAGTAATATAGATCATTACAGAAGATTTTTATGAGGAAGAGAGGAGGAGAGGCAAAGGACAATGACATTAGCAGATCTTACTACTTAAGAAAATCTAAACAAAACAGACAAAAGTCCCTTCCCCAGCTCATCTCCAAGCCCGGCACATGGGGCAGGTGTTCAGTCTCTACCATTCCCCAGCCATTGGCCCCTCACCCTCCCTGCCTCTCCCTGGCCTCAGCCTCCTGCTGCTGATCTTAGAAAGAGACTCTCTCCTCTTCTCTTCTCCAAGCACTGTCAACTCAGGATCTCCACACAGTACCCCCATAAGCACAACCCACTGCCTGCCTTCCCCTCAAAGAGAAAAGGATTATCCATTCCTCTCTTTAATATGTTTTTGTCTCTCAATCAAGTTTCATAGCTCCTGCACATTTCTTGATGAATTGACTCCTGAATATTTATGTTTTGGTAGCTATTGATAATGAGATATCTTCTTCATCCTATTCTTGTTAATACCCATGATACTTGCTAGTAATTATTACTCAGGAATAGAATACTAGGGTTTTGTTTCCAGTTATCACACTGAGCTTTCAGTACAGATCAGAGTTTTTAGTTGATTTCCAGGTTTTCTATATGACACAAGACCAAATAATAACAATAAGTTCAGAGCAATTGAAAATAGTAATAATGTCATTTTTTCTTCTCCAGTTCTCAAGGTTACGTTGGCAGCTCTTCCAGAATAATTTTGACCTTAAAGGGATGTTGGTAGAATTTACCACTAACTAGATTGTTGGAATGACTGTGAAATTTTATCAAATGCCATTTTAGCTCCTATAGAAATGATCTATTGTTTTCATCTGTGACCTATTATGACATGAATTCAATATCTAGATTTCCTAGTACTGATTCAACCTTATGCTACTGGAAGGAACACCCACTAAAGTCATTATGCAAAATGGTTTTAATATGGCTGGCTTCTATTAGTAGTTACACTTCTACTGCCTTCCATTTCACTCTCCCTTCACCCTCTTTCCCCAACAGACTTCTTTTCTAAGAAAAAGCTGTCCCTTGCACATGAGATCATGTTTTACACTGCATAGGAGGATGTCCCTCACAAGTGACTGACAAAGAAGTGTGAAGACCCCTCAGAAACCAACCAAGACACCAGACAATAGGATATGACATTTAGCTCAACCAAACTGCCAAATGTTATATAGGTGCCTTTCTTCTGTTAACAGAATATGGTTTTTTGGTAAGGGAATATGACAGGTTATTGTAATCCACATAATCAAATCTCCTTTAGTTTAATAATACATTCTTCAATGATATCTTAGAAACTAAAGCAATTAGAATTTTTTTTAAAAAAATAGCCTTTCTTCTTAAGCTGGAGCTATATTTTCTGCCTTCTATTTCTATCATCTCTCACCTCTTTGTGGTAAATGGAAATTCCCTCTTCATTCTAGCAATAAAATGAGGATCTATCTGTTTTTTCATCATGTTTTGAGTTTTTCCCTTTTGTATTTGTAGCTGGAAGCTAAGACAAGCTGTCAGAAAGGTTTTTTTTTTTTTTTTTTAACAGGAAACTCCTTTTTTTAGAACTATCTTCTAAGGACAATCTTGTCCTTGCTCAGATGCATAAGAGAGTACATATTTGACATGTGCGTAAGTCCTGTTTGGAGCTCTCTGTGCGTCGGAAGATTTGTGGCCACCTTTGAAATGTCAATGCAGTGCACGCCCAGTGCATACAGTCCCAAAGCAGGCCTCCAAATCATGACAAATTACTATATGTCATTGGTCTTGGCAGCTGTCCTCTAAAATTTACTTGGTTTGTATCCAGACATTCCATACTGCAGATAAATTTGCTTGATTATTTGAGGGATACATTTAGCATGTAATTCATCTAGTGCGTTCCACGGAAACTATGCTGCTTATGGAAAGAAATTATTAAAAGCCCCAAATCAAATATCCTCAAGGTAGCTTTTTTTTTTTTTTTTTTTTTTGATACAGAGTCTCACTCTGTCACCCAGGTTGGAGTACAGTGGCATGATCTCAGCTCACTGCAACCTCTACCTCCTGGGTGCAAGCGATTCTCACGCTTCAGCCTCCCAAGTAGCTGGGATTACAAGCTCCTGCCACCATGGCCAGTTAATTTTTTATATTTTTAGTAGAGACAGGGTTTCACCATGTTGGCCAGGCTGGTCTCGAACTCCTGACCTTAGGGTTATCCTCTCGCCTCGGCCTCCCAAAGTGCTGAGATTACAGGCGTGAGCCACCGCACCCAGCCTCTTCAAGTTAGCTTTGATTGAATTTAGAGATAAAACAGAAGTTATCCATTTTGTTTTGCTTTATTGCAAGCAGGAGCCTTGAAAGAAACCTGAAGAAACTGTTGAAACAATTGCTTTTGAGAAAGTAAAACACAAAATTGATTCTTAAATTTTGATTGATAGATGAGGAAAGAGGTTAACAAATATTTAACATATTCATGACCATAAAATTTCAGTTAAATATTTGTATATTCTCGATCATAACATCCATAAAGTTAGATTTCTCTCTGTCTATTTTCTAAGAACAAAGAGCTTTCCTATAATATTAAAAAGTTTGTTTTGATAGTTTTAAGACTGTTGACTTGTAAGAGATCATGAATGTTTATTATAGGAAACTATGTTAGCACATCTTTTGTGAAGAACTGTGTTTGACCACTGAAGTTTAACTCATTGCCTGTGATATCACTAATCACTAATCTAAGTCCAGTTAACTCCACCAGCATAAGGGACAAAATAAACTTACTTAAAATTAGCAGCTTAGCTAAATTACAGAAAGATACTTCCTTATAAAAGTATTATATAAGTACATGGAAATGTACTTTTCAAGTAAAATGAACAGTGACCCTCAGAGATTAATTTAAAAACCCAATAAAGAATCTCAATTTTCCTCAACAGCTTGAAGTCAAATATGCCATTTGTACATTGATGAAACGTTCCCAGTCGGTCAGTTGTGGGAAGATGCAGTGCCTGCTACTTGGGAAGCTGAGTGAAGACAACTGCATGACCCCAGGAATTCAAGGTTGTAGTGAGCTATGATCATGCCACTGCACTCCAGCCTGGGTAACAGAATGGGACATTGTCTCTAAAAAAAAAAAAGAAAGAAAGAAAGCAAGAAAAGCCTGGGCACAGTGACTCACCCCTCTAATCCCAGCATTTTGGGAGGTCGAGGTGGGCGGATCACAAGGTCAAGAGATGGAGACCATCCTGGCCAACATGGTGAAATCCCGTCTCTACTAAAAATACAAAAAAATTAGCTGGGCGTGGTGGCACATGGCTATAGTCCCATCCACTCAGGAGGCCGAGGCAGGAGAATCACTCGAACCTGAGAGGCAGAGGTTGCAGTGAGCTGAGATCGCACCACTGCACTCCAACCTGGCGACAGAATGAGACTGCGTCTCAATAAAAAAAGAAAAAAAATTAATAAGGAAACTTCTCAGTTAAAAAAAACCAATCACACATGCATTCACTTATTTATCCTTTCAACAAATGTGTATTAAGCACATACTATGTGCCAGGCACTGTCCTAAGAGCTGAGGGTCACAGAAGTAACAAGACCCTCTCCTGGGGTTTATATTCTAGTAGGGTTGACTGACAATGAACAAAATGAATGAGAAAATGGTATAGTAAATTATAGAAAATGGTACAGTAAATGGCATGGGGAAAACGGAGACAGGGAACAGAAGTGGAAGGGCTGTTATGAAGGATACAATTTAAAACAGGATGTACAGAGAAAGTGACAACAGGGCCAGGACTTGCTGGAGGTGCAGAGTGGCCACAGAGGCATCCGAGGAAAGATATTCCAGGTAAGGGGAACAGCCAGTGCAAAGACTTCAAAGTGGACCATGCCTCACATGCTCAAGAAAGATCCAGAAACTAGTGTGGCTAGAGTATAGCAAATAACAGAGAGAATAGTGTAACATGAGAGGTCACTGGGTGCGCAGTAAAATCAGGTGGGATGGTGGTTTTCAACTAGGGACCATATTACTTCCCAGAAGACATTTGGCAATGTCTTGACATACTTTTTGGTTGTCACAGCTGGGGGCTTGCTACTGGCCTCTGGCGGATAGAGTTCAGGGGTGCTGCTAAACACCTTACAATGAACAGGGCAGGTCCCACAGCAAAAAACTATCCAGTCCCAAATGTCAGTGGTGCTGAGCTTGAGAAACCCTGACGTAGGCTTTATAGGCTACTGTAAGAACTCTGGCTCAGTATAAAATTTTGGAAAAGATAG